AGTGGTAATCAATACTCCCTACTTGAACTGATGTAGCCATGTAAAGTTTTGTGGAGAGTCGTCATCTGTAGTCACGATAGCCAGTAGTGTCTGCCAAGGATGTTCAGTGTGATCATGATACCTAAATGTTATAGACGTGCTGATGGATATAGTCATAAGTACCTCTCACTTTTCAAGAATTGACTTATTTTCAGGAATGAAAGTGGTTGACCTACGGTACTCAGAACATAGTCTTGTTATATGAAGACACCAACAAAATGCTGTTTTTTTTAACACACTGAGCAGAAATCTTAGCATATTTAACCGGTGTGTGTTCCCCACTTGTTAGATGCAAGACAATGCTTCAGGGATTGGTCTACATCCGACTATCAGTTTTAGAGTGTGAAGTGACAGAATGCACTAAACACCTTACTTACTTGCACAGGTGCATCAGCCCTAAAGAGCTGGTTGCTGAAAAAACCTCAGCTTGGAAATAGAAGAGCTATTCAGCAAGTGTCAACTTGTTTACATCTCAAAAATCTGAATGTTCGACTACCTATCGAAAGACACCTATGCTGCGCAGTATTCCGTTCTGTCCTGTTGTAAGGCTATGATATGGTCGCTGAAATTAGAATGGATTAGGAGACTACAGGTTTCTTTTATCATATATCTTCATAGCATTGCTCGTATGTATCGAAACTAACATGTTATTAACGTCGAGGTTAGGTGTCCAGGAGTATCCGAGGAAGACAAACCAGTTGATGAGGTTGTAAGCCCTCACCGCCTGAGGTGTCTAGAAGATGTGTTACGCATACCGAGCCACCGCCTAATTCAATGCGTGATGTTAGTCGAAGTAGCATTGCATTTGAAGAAGATGAAGGGTAGTGTGAATCTAGGAGTTTTTTGTCTTGGTCCAAGTCATATGTGCAGATGTAGGGTGTTTAACTATGGTTTTAAGGTAATGGGAATCGATGGTTGGAGACCCTTTGTTATATGGCTTCGAATCTGTCATAATGGTGCCGTCATATCCACTCTTCTTCATCTTCGAAGTCTTGATTATTAAAATATCCTTCACCGTCATTTAGTTTTGTTCTGTTAACACTTAATTTTCCATCCATCCCGACTCAATGCAGCATTGACAAATTGAAATGGTTAAAGCAAAGATAACATTAAGAAAAACGCCACCTCGTGGGATTGAGACTAATACAACTAAATTTAAGTTGAAACGTGGTTTTCCTATGATTGTTTTCAAAACTCAGATAATGAGTATAGCGGTTCTGATGTGTCAACACACTGTTTCTTGTCACCACACAGTTTGTTGTTTTTAAGTGTATAAAAGTATAATAAGAATATTATCGTCTGACTGACTGACAAAATCAACGTAAAACCTCGCACACAAGTGCATCGGCTCAAGTTGCCACACTTCACAGCAGCATATAAAGAAAAGGTGGATAAAAAAGGGTGATATCAAAGTAGGTAAAGTGGTGCGAGAGAATAAACAATCTAAAGACAAAGGTTAGTGCAAGTATTCAAGCTTTAGAAGACGTCAAGGAGTGAACACATCTACGCCTTTGTGACCGATTTTCAGTCACGTCACCAAGATTCCTCAATTACTGATTCCTATAGTCTCTGTGACCTAAGCCAGACACTGTACATCTCCCCACACGGCACAGATCAACAGTCAGGGACCTCATTGACTGATGCCACGTCTTATTCTGGTTACCCTAAGCCTACTCTTAGCCTAATCCAGCTTCCCTTAGAATGGCACGTCGAGGTAGGCTGTGGATTGCCATGCAAAACATATGTTCAAGCCATCTCAATCGATAAGAGATCACATCGTCATCAATCGATTTGCCTATCTTGCTTAATACCTTTCCACTGACCTCATCATTGCTCACCAAACGCGAGCAATACTACGAAGACACTTGTGAGCAAAAGCCTGTAACCGCTTCTTGTCGTCTACTTTTGGTGGCTATATCTCAGCCGTACAACAGGACATAACGGACTGCAGCACAGTATACTCGTCCTTTGATAGATAGTTGGATGTCTTGCCAGTCGGCTCCACAGATGACGCGAGTTGGCAGATGCTAAACAAGCCCTCTGTATCGTCACTGAAATTTCGCCAGCCTGTTTGTTTTGATCACTCTCTGGAGTGATTTTTACAAACATATTTAGTGTTATGAATCTCATTGCAAATGGTAGCCCAGTCGTAGCGATACAATACTTAGTCGTCTAAAGCTGTAGTTGGACCGTGGTGCTTTTAACATTCACTTGGCTATGAAAGTGTAGTTTAAATATAGTAAAAAGCAAAGAGAGAGCTATTTTTACAGAAATTGATGAGATGTATAAAATCAATATTGTGGTGGCCACATGAAGTAATTTCTGTTTGTCTTCTGTACCTAAATTCACCAACCCCCTTTCAACTTTTCTGCTTGGTAGCCATAATGTATAACCACTGAGTCATAATAACTAACCTTACCCTCTAATGTACTTTTTTAGTAAGTTTCATCAATTCAAGTGTCTAGTCGCGCCTGTAACCTGTTTCTATTTTAACTGTTTATCATTACTCTGAGGTGAAATATTCTATTCTTTATGTGTTGTGTGTTTACATTTTAAGTAACTTTTATATTTTAGGTGAATAATCCTAGTTATTATTGTTATTGTGCATGTTTCCTTAATCAATTTTTATTGAAATCTATATGAACATAGAGTGTACATTTACGTCGTTAAAAAAATGAACAGAATTTAGCATTCATGTATGTGAATACAAATGACAGAACGAATCAATTATTCCTGATTTTCAATGATAAATTTATCAAACTAGGTCATTTGGAAAAATGAAACACACTTTGTACATCAAGTTTTTGATCAAATAACTTGTTGCAAAGTATTTGTAACGAATCTGCGTCTTCTGGAGAGAAGCACTAAAGTCCTAAGATTTTGGACAAGCATTTCATCTACATGCGCATTACTGAACATGCGACTGATCGATTTTTAGCACTCAACTTTCAAGTGATAAGTGTTGGCTTTAAATCCTACTCGACCTACTTAAACCTCGTCAACCAGGTGATATCATAGGTCCTCATATAATAAATGTGGCTAATAATTTAGTGTATAAAGCTGTAGCGAGTTGGGTTACAACTTTAACTTTAATCGTCGTACCTATGGTGTCACACGTGGTAGAAGTCAAGACTGTTAGATTTCATTGTGAACTTGGCCTCACTAATTTACTTACTTGAAATCATATAGATCATATTTTCCAACTTGTGTCAATTTGAGATGGAATGCAGTCATCATCCAGTATCATCGGTAACTTTCTATTCTCATTTTATGTCCAAATTGGCGTAGAAACTTTTAGAAATTCATCTAAAATGTTTGTAGAGTTCATCAGTTTCATTCGTGATTAGTGCTCGTCACAGATCGATATCAGGTAGATGAGCACTGAAAATCGGGGAGAGTTCAGCAGATGTTTCATTCAAGTTAATCTATTTATATTTTCGAAATCACAAACCTAATTGAATAACTATTATCATGACCATTACTGATCATTACATGAACGACATCTAATGTTTGTTTTTTCAGAAAGGACCTGGTCATATGACATTGTCATAATGTTAGCATATATATGTAGGATCAGAATGTACGGTGATGTAAATTATCTAATTAAAAAGACTAACTTATATGTCTATAGATAATTGTGTATATCGATGAGCTAAGCATTGTACTCTTGATGGACTTATCAATATTATTTCTTATGATTCAGTATTTTCTGGTAAATTATTAAATGCATTGAGATTTAGGTCATATGAAAGCATAAAAATTTGTTTTCAACCAGTCATTATTCTGTTAATTAATCAACTTGATTCTTGTTATGTGTCTTCTTGACTTAAATACGCATATACGTAACATCTTATGAGTTCCATTTTCAACATTTCTAACATCGAATAACTGTATTATATGAATAACTCATAGGTTTATCAGTTTGTATTTTAATGTAAAGTAGCAATTTTCATCTCAACTAACCATTATTATAACATTAGGCTTAGAGATTAGAGTATATTTTAAATATACCGATATATTAGTGCATATATTAAGCATATAACGTGTTACTAATGTGAGATGATTCATTTTGTCGTAAGCTGTTGTTGAATGCATTTTAGCTGTACGTTGATCTAGCATCTGCTAATGCATCATCATTCCTGGTGTAGTTTCCTTTGAAGATTATTACCTTGTTATTGTCAGTACATCGTCTTAAGTGTTGAAAATGTCGAAAATGATAACTAATAGCCTATAAGAACAAACATCTCAATACTGTACAACCATAAAGTGTTTTTCAATCTTTATCAAACTAAATCTAAGCCTCAGTGCTGTCTCTTATAGGTCACTAATGAATTTTTAATTTCTATAACTGTAATAGTCCCTTGCTAATTGTATTTCAGTAAAAAGTGGTGCTACTTTTCAACATTGAATTTTTCTGATTATTTAATGAAGTAGTGTCGGTTACTCAGGTTGATACACGTAATGAAGGTGAAGTTTTTAAAATAAGAGAATATTGCCTGGGGACCATATTGTAAGATAGTTCACTTTTAGTAAGAAAATGTTAAGTCTTTGTTACAAATGTTGTTATAACTAAGTTGTTATTGGACAGTTGAGTGACTGACTTATTCGAAACGATAAATAAATGTTCCGGAAATTCTAGATTACAAGCAGTCTATTTCTGAGTTATATGTTCAGCGGTGTACCATGTAGAGTACGGTGTTCTTTTTTCAATATGTAAGTATCGTTCATTTTGTGTTTTGATTCAGTAGCTAGGTTTTAATATGCCTATTGTGCTAATTACTGTACGCGGTAGACTGACATTGCATGAACATATATACTACTCTATCGATAGGGCTTAGACGAAGATATACTTGTTGCAGCTGTAATTGATTTGTGCTGAGAATTATCTTTGTAACAACCACTTCTTCCCAAACTACTCACTTAAAAATTATTTCTGCTTTATTCGTTTATCTTTAAAACAGGTCGAATTCTCGTAAAAAGGCACTGTTCTTTACAGCTGGAGCATTAGCTGGTGTATATATCGGTTCACGAATGCGAACACATGTTCACGTAAGATCATACCATGATTTGTGTAAGTTTTCCTCGTGGCTATTACTTTAACCCACTGTTTCATTTACATGTTTATGCAGTACTGTTCATTATTTTAAGTTGGGCAATTCGTAATTGTACATCATTTTAATTACTAATACTGAGCAACATAAACATGTGCTATCAATGACTGGTCAATTCAGTGTTATGTATCAGCAATGGGAAGTGTAAACTACTTTGAACAAGCAAAAGAGCTATTCGTTGAAGCCGTTCGTATTTATGAAATAGTGGAGAATATTTGTAGCTCAGGTGGATGGTCTTGGTTGTATTGTGTTCTCTGAGCTGGGTTGTTTAATCGTGAAGCTTTCATAGTCTTTCTAGATGCTGAAAACACAATACAACCAAGACCGTTCATATTTATGCTTTGTTTCGTATATCAGTGTTGTGGCGAAATTCCAATCAGCAGTCATCACTACTACTCGAAAATGGTGGATACAGTGAAAATACATTAGGAACGTCTCCACCAATTCTCAGTCATATTTGTACTTAATATTACTGAAATATTATTCCCATTGTATTTGAGCTGAGAAGTTCCAAATAGATTAAAGCATGGGTTCTAGTTTCCACTGCTAAATACTATCAAGTGAATAACATTGAAATCAAAGTCATGGAGGGAGAGAAATCTTTTTTGATAACCATAAGGAATTAGTTTGGCTGACATTGTGTCCACAGTCCTACGGTCCATAGTTATCTCACGCTTAACTGGAGCTCAGGAACAGCAAACCGCAGAAAACCAGGCTGATCTCAAATCTGATCGCGGCTGTATTGGTCAGATTTTCACCCTCTAACTGGTTATGGAAAACAGACATATTTACGTCCAACGGTCGACACTTGGCATATTTCCTAACCTGAAGGTGGTATTCGACTCTGTCGACTGTGAGGTGTTGTGGCAGTGTCTAACTATGAAAGGAGTGTCGAGCAAGTATATAACGCCAATCATAGTTCTCTACTCGAACTCACCCAGCTGTCTTACGGCTTAGAGAGAGTTGTCATGTGAATTGACGACAATTAGTGATATCCACCAGGGATGGCAGCTGTCACCCTCTGTGTTCAACATCGTTATACATGTAGTAACCGACATATTCTACTTTCTGTTTGCTACTACAACAAAGGAAACCAACAGGGAAAATCTAGAAGAAACATTTCTTATCATATTATTCTTGATACAAAGTATTATCTTTTCGAAGGTACCTGCATTGAGAATTCATATATGATAATTTTACTCAACTGAAGCTGCCATTCACTCTTGATAGTCTGTTCTGCTTCATGATGCCGCAGTTATTGTATATAACTATTTAAAAGTCTAAATTGAATTCATTGCTAGGGGTTAATTGGCAAGAAAACCTAGTCAAGATATCTCGCTTGTTAATGCTCACCTACAATCCTGCGCAGATTGATACTTTCTTGGAGATTAGGAGTCGCACCTCTTAGTGGTGAATCTGGAGACTTTGCCACGGATGTTAATCAGACAATAACTTCCTTGTTCTAAGGATTCGATCGTTTATACAAACTGATCACGGAATACCAACCGATGTATCTGATTAATCCCTTGGCGCTGATAAGATTTTTTCTACCAAGTTTTGGATGTAGTTATTGTATCAAGAAAGGTGGCACTGTAGTACATTGTTTTAATGTTGAGTACCTATATCTCCTGAAAAATTACAGCAAAAGACAATATCGCATCACTTGGCTTACGGGCTGGACTCAGATTGCTTTTGAAGACTGGAGAGCTAGGAGAATTTGAAAATGATGTTGTATCGTTAGTTGAGAGACGTGAAGGAACATTAAAACGTAATGATGATGAGGGGGAGGTGGATAGCAGTCTGAAGAAACCTGAGTGCTGACAGAATTGCGAGGGCGATTGACACTTCTCAGCTGCCCACGCCGTGGAAGGCTATTTCTTCTTAAGGTAACTGAAAGAGATTTGTGTGACCGCAGAACCCATCGGACATCTGCTTGAGGCCTGTCACACGGAGCCTTCTTTTTGTGTGTGATTATTTTGAAGTTTCGTATTTTTGGGCTGGATGTTCGAAAAGAGATGACAAATGAACCAACAGTGCCGGCCTGGCAAACCGTGGGGTATGGTGGAGTGTGTTATTTTTGGGTCTGCCTTTTCTAACACCCCTTTCCATTGAGAAAGCAGCATCAGCATGTCACTACTGGTCATCCAAGGGGAACACTTTACTGCTGTCACATCCCACCCAGCTAGCAGCGGTGCGACTTCACCCTCAGACTGCCATCATAGTGAAGTAATTTACACCACAACGGTAACTGCTTTTCGTCTTGCCAGCACCCAACTAACTTATGTGGTATGGTAGGACCTCGAATGAACAAGTGTTCCACCGGTGTAGCTGGTTGAGTCATTGTGATATGCAAGCCCGACCACCACGTCTAGGTAGCAGTTATCGTTCGAGAAAACAAACTCTTAACTGGAGAGTCAATAATCTACTCCGGTCACTAAGACAACAACCACGAGCACATTGAGTTTTCGAGTGGCTATCATCATGTCCCCAACAGCATCAAAGGCTCTCTCTCTCATACAGTGGGAACCAATCTCCTCCTCCAGGATCAGGACTATGACAACAACATTCAAGTCAAAAGGAAGGAAACTCACAATCATACAATGCTACGCAACGCTATACACCCACAAATAATGCAGGTCAAGAGAAGAAGGAGGAATTCTAAAGACAACTGCAATCTGCACTGGACAAGACTCCACCCCAGTTGGCAACATCAACATTCATTCTAATGGGTGGGGTGACATGAATACCAGCCAAACTGGCAGCGGACAACACTGGAAGACAACTCATCATGGGTGGAGAAGCAAGCACTCAGTGAAATGATGAATGGGAATAGAGAATTGTTTGCAGAATTCTGTGCATTGAATGAATTGGTGATTGGAGTGGGGGCAGTGTGTTCAAGCACAAGTATATTCACAAGGCAGCGACATGGATTTCACCAGACACCAGGACACACTACACTAAAAATCAGATCGACTTCATCTCAATCTGGAGGAGGTGGAGACGCACCCTACTGGACACAAGATCAGATCAAGAAGAGAGAGGAGCAGGTGTAGGTTCACACACACCACTCACTATCTAGTGCAAGGAACCTACCTTCAAAATCAAGTTGAAAGCATTCAAAGAAGTTGGTGATGATAGACTACAGTTCAGGGTCAACACCCAGAATAGAAACTGAACTGAAAGACGAAACTCGAAAGGACATCTTTACATCAGTCAGTCAGTCAGTCATCTGGAAAAATGGGAGATATTAAGCAACATCCCTGACGAAACCTGCATGAAAGAATACTAGGACTCTATGAGGGCTATGTGGAAGGAAACCTGCATAACTGTATTAGGATGGAAGAAGAAAGAAGACAAGGACTGGAATGGAATGGATCTGGACGGACACATGGAAGCTGATAGAGGAGGGAGAGGAAGATGGTGAAGCAGAAGATAAATCAGTGCAGTCCAGTGCAGTGCAGTGCAGGGATGAACAACAAAAAGAAGAACTGAGTACAACGTATAAAACACTACACTGGACAAAGAAGTGAAGAAGAGTGCACGGAAAGACAAAAGACACATCTACGAAACACTGACAAGTGAAGCAGAACAGGCTGCTGGTAGGAGACACAGAGACCTGACAACATTATATCAAATAACCCAATGAAAGATAGTGAAGGAAACCTAGTCACCACCAACAAGGAGAAACAAAGGGAACGATGGGCAGACCACTTCAAAAAACTCTTGAAATGAACACCACCACCAACACCATCACTACTTGCAACTCGTTCAGAAATACCACCAGCAGCCTAGCCACAGAATTACCAGTGAAGACAAGCCCTCCGACAAAAGCAGAAGTGGAGTCCTGAACGCCATAAAGCTGATGAAATCCGGGAAAGCAGCAGGACCAGATTGAATTCCTCCAGAAACACTGAAAACAGACGCAGAGACAACAGAGCACACGCTCACACCACTACTGTAGAAGGTTTGGGAAGAAGGAAGGAAAGGTACCTGCCGAATGATTGAAAGAAGGACTACCTTGTCAAACTGCCAAACAACAGTGACCTAAGTCTTCGCAACAACTGGAACGGAATCATGCTCCACCCCTGTCCACCCAAAGCAGGCAAAATATTATGCCGCATCATCCTGGAGGGATTAGAAGGTGCTCTGGATTCAAAATTACGACCGAAACAGACTGGCTGGCTAGTTGCTTTCAGGAAGAACAAATCATGTGCGGATCAAATTGTAACGCTACACTACTCTACACATCATCATAGAACACAGCATAGAATGGCAGTCAACACTCTACCTCAACTTCATCCACTTTGAAAAGGCCTTCGATAGCGTCGACCGAGAAGTAATTTGACTGGCACCTACTTCAACATTACGGTTTTAGTGTCACAAATCTTTATCAACCTCATTCAACAGCAGCTATATGCGCTATATGATACTACATACCAAGTGATTGATAACGGAAAGCCCAGTGATGCGTTTGAAGTGAATACAGGGGACGGGAGTGAGACAAGGTTACTGCCTACTATCGTCACCGATGCTCTTCTTGATTGTGGTCGACTGGATTATGCAACAAACTGTGAGGAGCAAGAAGACGGGCATACACTGGACCGATGAACAGACTGTAGAAGATTTGGATTTTGCCAATGATGATTTATGTCTAACGCCTTGTTGCACAAAGTCGAAGATCTACAGGCTAAAACCAACAAGTTGGCAGAAGAGGAGAGGTGAGGCGAGGCAGCGAAGATGGGACTTCCTTCGGGTGAACGTAGAGAAGACAGAGGTGATGAAGATACACAACCAACAATGACGACAACAACAACAACAAGCACGAATCATCGCCAGGGGGAGAAATTATCATCACGTTTTGAAAAGACATTTAGTTGGAGACATGCATAGATGCGTGTGCATTCCTGAATGTAACGGACGCTATAAATAGTTTTAAGCAAACTTTACAGCTAAGATTTGCTGTTGTTTCAAAAGGAGATTGGTTCGATTTTTAAGTAATTTGTTACTTTAAAAGTAGTTTAGTGTATTTATCGTCTCGTTTACAAGTGGTTCCTTATATCATTTCCAGAAATACTATTCAAAACATAAATGAAATCTCCTATTTTATTAGTGATTGATTGGTAGACAGGTGTGCAATGTCTTTTAAAGGTCGGTCATATGCAGTCAATGTAACTGATGTATTCAGTCAATGTAACTCACTTTTTCGTATAGTTTTAACAGTTTTCTTTATTTAAAGGATAAAATTTTTCACCAGTCCAGATTACTACTAGTGGATTCCTCACTAATCTGCGATGAGATAATCAGTGCGTTTTATCTATGGGGAATCTTACTATGAGCTGTTAAAATTCACACAATTTATTATCTTTATGGTTCAACTTCTTTTTATGCTGAGGTTATATTAGTTTAAGAGTTTTCTGGATTCTATAACTCTAAGTCACCACGCACTAACTAATACATTTTCTGTTTAATTGATTCTCATTCCATTTGTCCAGATAAATACGAGGTTTGTGAAGGTCGACGTACGGAGTTTATAAATGAGACGGGTGTATCACGTACTTACTCATATTTTTTGTGCCCAGATGATCCGAATCAACCGTTTGAGAAATATTGCTGTTGGGATTCATCAACTGGTATGGGTGTATGCTGTTCATATGATGTGAAAGTGTATGTTCATGATTTACAAATAACTTGTGCAGTGATTATTTACAATAACTTTTTCTATGATTTTCTTCCTACACTGAACAGGTCTAGGTGAAAAGTAAGTGTATATTGTGTACACTACATGTGTTAAGCTTGCCGATAGTCTAGACCAAATAGATAGTGGAATGAGATTCCTGATCTAAAGGTTATAAATTGAACATATACAATCTTCAAGCTATACCTCTTATTTCAAAGTACTATTCATCTGTGTTCTAAAACGATAAATAGTCGGTATTTTCTTAGTGAGAAGTAAACATTTTATCTTCTTCACAGAATATTGGAATTTCAGTACCAAAGATAGCCGCTGGTTTTTACATCTCTAACCACCTCTGCTCACATTATTTGCAACTGTAGGTTTCTTTCTCTTAATTTACTACATACTTGAAAAGCGTCACAGTTGTTTACAACACTGAATCCGACGCAGTATGATGTTACTGTATAGCCAGATTTCATTTATGATCTTCACTGCTGTGTGTAGTTTAAATACCTTGTTAGCGTTTGTCATTCTATACCACAACAATTTTTTAATATTTCCAAGTATTAAAGTTGGATACTTTTCACCGAAACAAGAATAAGTTGTAGAATTAAAGAAGCATTAAGATAAATGAGTACTGAGTGGAAAGTGTTTATGATGAATAACTTACTGTGAAATCCTAAACGGTAATTTCAGGATCTCAGACAAAGTTTTGCGTGAACTTAGAAAGTCCAGAACACAATTATTAAGGTTTATTAACAAGGCGGTAGTGTAAATACGGATTATAACCAGAATAACAATAATCAATACCTTCAAGTGTGACGCTTCCGTCAGGAAAATCACCGAATCAACTACAAAGAAAACCAACAAGATCCAAGTAAATAATATACAATCAAAATTGGGAACTCACTCCTCCAGCAAGCAGACTAACCAAATGACTAAAACCAATTCATCCACAAAATCAGAGAGACAAAGACAGTCAATCAGAATGAGGGTTACAAGTGCAAAACAGCAGACAACCATAAGCCAATAAGGCTCATAAAGAATACAAGGAAAGTGTCAATGGAACAGGAAGAGTAGACGGGTAGTGGGATAGTATTACAATTATATCTTGTTGGGACGGGAAAATTGACTCGACGGTTGACAGGCGTAACAATGACAACACTTACGTTCTTTTACTTTACATTGAAAGATTTCCGGGAGCTCCAAAAAATAATCAATAACACTGCATTTGTAATTGAATCGAAAGTGGAAGTTGGGTACAATTAGGGTATGCAACTGGCACTGAAAGAAAGATATATTACTTCAAAGTTCAGTAACTCTTGTATATGACAGAGGGAAAACTGTTTACAAGAGGGGTGAGTGCATGAAAATAACCAATTAAAACCATGCATAAATTACTAGATCTAACAAGGCGTTGTTATTCAAACTTTTACTACTGTTCCTCATAGTTTATATCTCCTCTGTAAACTGACTTTACAGTATAGTCATCAGTTGAACGTTTCATGAGGATGCAATTTATAACAACAGCTTCACACTGGTTTCAAGCAATCAAAGGACATTCTTATGGTGTTCAACTCTACGCAAAATGCAGATTTAGTACCATACTACTCGAAAATATTTACTAATTTCAGCTAAATTTTCACTTATCCAAATAGATTGATTTACTTTCGAGTAATATGATACTAATTTATCGTGTGGTGTAGAGTTGAACACCAAAAGAATATCCTCTGATTGGTTGAAACCAGTGTGAAATTGTTGTTATAGATGGGACGTTTATGTAACGTTCAACTGATAGAAGAGATACATGAATAGATTAATGTTTGCACGTTGATGATCACTTTATCTCAACATAAGGTTTCCGACCTCAAATTTATCGCATAGTAAGTTATCCTCATACTCTATCTTAAGTGAGATATATATTATGTTCCTATGGTCACTCTGAATAATAATAGAACCTCTCACACAAGTTCAGCGGTTCAAGTTGCCACATTTCACACTACGAAAAGGTAGACTGTGAAAGAGTGACACCAAAGTAAACAAAGTTGTGTAAAAGATTTAACAATTTGAAGATAAAGGTTAGTGTGTATATTCAAGCTTTAGAAGACGTCAAGGAGCGAGTACATCCATTGTGACCGTTTTTCAGCCATGTCACAAACAGTCCTCAATCAACCCCAGCCAAGCAATCCACATCTCTCTACACAAATCAAACCAACAGTCGGGGACTTCATTCATTGGTGCCACGTTTTAGTCTGGCCACTCTATGCCTTCTGAGAAATTCGGCTAGCATTTCGTTTTGAGAGAGTTGGTGGGTGAGTATGCCCAACATATGTCCAGTGCACATCTGTTAGTGAGGGTTCACAACCTCATCAACCGACTTGTCTGCGTTGGATAGTACTTTAAGACTGACCTGGACACTTTTCACATGGTGACTTGGTAATGCGTGAGCAATGGTACAAGGATACTTGTGGTGAAAGACCTGTAACCAGTGGATATACAGTTGTAGCTGGCCTATCTGGCAGTTGTATAATAGAGGAGAGAAGGGAGTGGCTGATTGTATACTCATCCTTGAAGAGGTAGTCAGGTGAATGGCCATTGTGAGCTAGAGATGGTGTGAGTTTGCGACTGTCAAACGGCCCTCTATTTGCTACGTGAGATTTCGTCAGGAATCAGGTTGTTCAGAGTGATGTGACTCTTTGAGTGAAGTGGTCAACGTATTATACTGTGTGAATTCCTAGCGTTAAACTGAAAGTAGCTGTAGACCAGTGCTGAAGCATCATCTCACATTTGAGTAGAGAGCTGTGACACTTGACTGCATTGCATATTTCATTTGTTTATTTGTTACCTTTTCTGTACTTGGAAGTTTATATGAAAATGCATTTCATCTTAGTCATCATCAGGGCGCTCGTCAAGTCGTCTATATGCTTTAATTTGTGCATGCCAGTTCAAAACGTGGTTGGCATCGCTTAGAAATACAGTTTATAGGTTTTTTGTACTCTCTATATTAAAGTAAAAGCTTGAATTGCGTTAAGCTGCGGTTTATTGACAAACTTTTGAATGGTCTTAGATGTTATCTTTCCGAATTAAGAAGTTTCACAGAGTTCATACATCTGAACAAACTATTAAAAATGATGTAGATGAACAGTGGTTAACAGTGGAATCCAGGACTCGTCAACTGGATATACCTGGCTCCCAGTGAGCGTTATTGTTTCCATTGAGACTGGAACCCAGTATCGTATCATCGAAATCAGATTTTCGCCTGTGCCAAGGCATGTTGACAGAGATATATATATACCAATGGTGGTTGATCATTCCAGTTCAGGCCTATTAGCAAAGCGAAATAACAAGTTATACAACTACTACTAATGTTGTTTATAACTGGATTTACTGATTATTCGAACTAACTCTCATTGTTTATATTAAAATTTCGATAAATAGTTACAAATCAGTCACATGGAACATGGGTAAATTTCATCAACTAGATGTGAATCATAGTGAAATTAGTTTTATGTGTATGTATGCATTCTAACTCAATCTATTCTTTAAAGCAGCACACTTTGTGAGTTCACCACAGTGATGATCATTTGTAGCCTTGAATAAGTATGTTTCTGATAGAAATCGTGTTTGGAATTTGAAAACTAATCCAACTATGAACAATATTCACACATACCACGTGTAGGTCGTTGGTCACAGTCTTTCATGAAATATCTATTTTGTGCTGTGGAATTTCTAAACTAATTGATATGTATAACAACATATGTGCATGTGGAAATTAAAATTCTGCTCACGATATCTGTCGAATTTTTTCTACCGTCACTAGTGGTAGTATCATCATCGTAATAATTTAAATCGACTGTCATTGTTGTTGTCAACGTTAATTTTCCTTTCTCGCATGAATCTGAGAATCATAATTTTATATTCTATTTTTTATGCGTATAGGAGTTCAACTTCTGGAAGGTAAATCCTAACTTGAATATCCTTTGCTATAAAATTTAATTTTCTAATTGAGATATTCACCAAAGAAGCATCATACTTTTTATATTATCATTGACTGTTTGATATTCATGCGAAAATAATAAGCTTATTAGATGATATTACATTCCTTTAATGGAGTTTAAATGTTTCAGCTGAACATTTTATTTGTTTTTTTAAAGAAATGAACTCATTTGTTCTAATCACTAAATAGTTGCTTACACGCATTGGTCACCATATTGCATACAGAGGTTATGTTGTTGTTGATTTTTTTTATTGTAGTAAATGTATGTTGTGATTGTGTAATTCGTAATAATTTCGAAGCAATATCTTTATGAGGATGATAGATAATAATTCCTGAATCAAAGTTTGATTTTGCATGAACTAAGTTACCTCTTTGTAGTCGGTTGAATTGTCGTTAATGCCTGTCTTTTTTAGTAATGTTTGTTATCGTCACCCTTAAACTAACTAAAACTCATCCATAGTGACCCCTTATGCATAGTCTCTATTGTTTTATCTTTTTCGATTAGTTTTACCCTCTTTTTTTCTGTGATCAAATTATCAACCTAACATTTTCCTAATTTCTTTGATTAATAATCAGTGCAAAGCACCATTATCATCACAGACATCATAGAGTGCCTACTAAAGAATTTTTATCATGGATACGGTAATGTGAATGGTTGGGTTGTGCCCAGTTATAAAATTGACTATTGTTCTTTCTCTCTTTCATTGTTAGTTTCTATGGTTTATGTTCTCTATCTTATTCAACTTCCTTTACATGTGTAAAGTTTCTAATTGTTCTTAGTACATACTCCACAGTTGATCTGGATTGACTTTAGGCAAATAAGTTTCTTAGCTTCCTGTTTTGGAAAGAAGACACCGCTTTGGATCGCAGAAGCTTGGTCATATATAACAAAAGACTTTAAAGGTTGGCAATAATTAAATAATACCTGTACGTAAAACGACATGCTGAACCATTCAGTCATTATCACCATGGGACTTGGTCATTACTGCTTAGTAATCCAGGTGACTACACCTCATATCACCACACTAAAGTGCAACAATAAATTGAAGATATAGCGATAATATAATTGTCTTTAAAAGACACAGTAACTAAAACAGATTGGAGGCATTTGTGTCACTGATATTGATTCTGAATCATATCACCTAGGCCGTAACGTTACTTTACATCCCTCTATTTGGCTCTGAGTAACAGTCAGAAACGTCCTGGACTGAGTTCACGTCTTGGTTTGATCACCCTTAGTCTTTTTCCAAACTATCCCTACTAAAGCTGAAATTGAGGTTGATGGTAACTGGCTAGTCTTAACACTGTACCCCAACTAGCTCAGTCGAGAAAGTTTTACAAACTCCTTTTATAGCATAACTGTTTTCCCTAACACTTTACTCCTAACGTTTAAGCGATGTACATGTTACTTTCGAGATACACAGTGAATACTACCAAAGCAACTTTGGTCGATTATGTGGAAACTTTCCATTTATTTGAACTTTAATTACCAAACTGTTTCCTGCTTAGTTAGTTATAGGCTTTATGAGGGAATTCTGAAGTAACGAAGGGGTTGCATTTAATTTACTCTCCACAAAATAGTATTCGCTGATTCGAAAGTACTGTCTTGCGATAAGTTTTATTTTTCACCTTCTTAGTTAAATAATATATCTTCGAGATGGCTCCACATCTAGGCGTTGTACATGATTATTCCCTTGTAGATAGGGCATCTAGTTGGCAGTAAGAGAAATATTACATCGTTTTGTATCCAGAAATTACATGCATCTATCAACCGTGCGAAGCTTTTGTGTGAACGGTTACACTGTTGTAACATCAGTGATGCGTTTGGAGTGAAGACAGGGGACGGGAGTAAGACAAGGTTACTGCCTACTATCGTCACCGATGATCTTCTTGATTGTGGTCGACTGGATTATGCAACAAACTGTGAGGAGCAAGAAGACGGGCATACACTGGACCGATGAACAGACTGTAGAAGATTTGGATTTTGCCAATGATGATTTATGTCTAACGCCTTGTTGCACAAAGTCGAAGATCTACAGGCTAAAACCAACAAGTTGCAGAAGAGGAGAGGTGAGGCGAGGCAGCGAAGATGGGACTTCCTTCGGGTGAACGTAGAGAAGACAGAGGTGATGAAGATACGCAACCAACGATGACGACAATAACAACAACAAGCATCAATCATCGTCAAGGGGAGAAGCCTAAAGGAAGCAGTTTCTTTCACCCACCTAGGCAAGACAGCATTGTTTCAACTACAGGCAGCGCTACAGATTATTATTATTATTATTATTATTATTATTATTATTATTTGTCCCTTGGGTTCTTAGTGGAACCCCCCCCCTGACGATGATTGGTGCTTGTTGTTGTTGTCGTCATTGTTAATTGGGTATCTTCATCACCTCTATCTTCTCTACGTTCACCCGAAGGAAGTCCCATCTTCGCTGCCTCGCCTCACCTCTCCTCTTCTGCCAACTTGTTGGTTTTAGCCTGTAGATCTTCGACTTTGTGCAACAAGGCGTTAGACATAAATCATCATTGGCGAAATCCAAATCTTCTACAGTCTGTTCATCGGTCCAACCAGCGAATGGCCATCCTCTCACTCGTCACAGTTTGTTGCATAATCCAGTCGACCACAATCAAGAAGATCATCGGTGACGATAGTAGGCAGTAACCTTGTCTCACTCCCGTCCCCTGTATTCACTTCAAACGCATCACTGGGCTTTCCGTTATCAATCACTTGGTATGTAGTATCATATAGCGCATATAGCTGCTGTTGAATGAGGTTGATAAAGATTTGTGACACTAAAACCGTAATGTTGAAGTAGGTGCCAGTCAAATTACTTCTCGGTCGACGCTATCGAAGGCCTTTTCAAAGTGGATGAAGTTGAGGTAGAGTGTTGACTGCCATTCTATGCTGTGTTCTATGATGATGTGTAGAGTAGTGTAGCGTTACAATTTGATCCGCACATGATTTGTTCTTCCTGAAAGCAACTAGCCAGCCAGTCTGTTTCGGTCGTAATTTTGAATCCAGAGCACCTTCTAATCCCTCCAGGATGATGCGGCATAATATTTTGCCTGCTTTGGGTGGACAGGGGTGGAGCATGATTCCGTTCCAGTTGTTGCGAAGACTTAGGTCACTGTTGTTTGGCAGTTTGACAAGGTAGTCCTTCTTTCAATCATTCGGCAGGTACCTTTCCTTCCTTCTTCCCAAACCTTCTACAGTAGTGGTGTGAGCGTGTGCTCTGTTGTCTCTGCGTCTGTTTTCAGTGTTTCTGGAGGAATTCAATCTGGTCCTGCTGCTTTCCCGGATTTCATCAGCTTTATGGCGTTCAGGACTCCACTTCTGCTTTTGTCGGAGGGCTTGTCTTCACTGGTAATTCTGTGGCTAGGCTGCTGGTGGTATTTCTGAACGAGTTGCAAGTAGTGATGGTGTTGGTGGTGGTGTTCATTTCAAGAGTTTTTTGAAGTGGTCTGCCCATCGTTCCCTTTGTTTCTCCTTGTTGGTGGTGACTAGGTTTCCTTCACTATCTTTCATCGGGGTTCGTCAGCGTTGATCTCTTCCTAGATAGTAAGTGACCTGGTTATTTGATATAATGTTGTCAGGTCTCTGTGTCTCCTGCGTGCAGCCTGTTCTGCTTCACTTGCCGAAGTGATGTGTCGTGGGAGTTCCTCTTGTCTTTTTCCGTGCACTCTTCTTCACTTCTTTGTCCAGAGTAGTGTTTTATACATTGTACTCAGTTCTTTTTCTCGTTGAGCATCCTTGCACTGATTTATCTTCTGCTTCACCATCTTCCTCTCCCTCCTCTATCAGCTTCCATGTGTCCGTCCAGATCCATTCCATTCCAGTCCTTGTCTTCTTTCTTCTTCCATCCTAATACAGTTATGCAGGTTTCCTTCCACATAGCCCTCATAGAGTCCTAGTATTCTTTCATGCAGGTTTCGTCAGGGATGTTGCTTAATATCTCCCATTTTTCCAGATGACTGACTGACTGACTGATGTAAAGATGTCCTTTCGAGTTTCGTCTTTCAGTTCAGTTTCTATTCTGGGTGTTGACCCTCAACTGTGGTATATCATCACCAACTTCTTTGAATGCTTTCAACTTGATTTTGAAGGTAGGTTCCTTGCACTAGATAGTGAGTGGTGTGTGTGAACCTGCACCTGCTCCTCTCTCTTCTTGATCTGATCTTGTGTCCAGTAGGCTGTGTCTCCACCTCCTCCAGATTGAGATGAAGTCGATCTGATTTTTAGTGTAATGTGTCCTGGTGTCTGGTGAAATCCATGTCGCTGCCTTGTGGATATCCTTGTATTTATACACACTGCCCCACTCCAATCACCAATTCATTCAATGCACAGAATTCTGCAAACAATTCTCTATTCCCATTCATCATTTCACTGAGTGCTTGCTTCTCCACCCATGATGAGTTGTCTTCCAGTGTTGTCCGCTGCCAGTTTGGCTGGTATTCATGTCACCCCACCCATTAGAATGAATGTTGATGTTGCCAACTGGGGTGGAGTCTTGTCCAGTGCAGATTGCAGTTGTCTTTAGAATTCCTCCTTCTTCTCTTGACCTGCATTATTTGTGGGTGTATAGCGTTGCGTAGCATTGTATGATTGTGAGTTTCCTTCCTTTTGACTTGAATGTTGCTGTCATGGTCCTGATCCTGGAGGAGGAGATTGGTTCCCACTGTATGAGAGAGAGAGCCTTTGATGCTGTTGGAGACATGATGATAGCCACTCGAAAACTCAATGTGCTCGTGGTTGTTGTCTTAGTGACCGGAGTAGATTATGGACTCTGAAGTTGACAGTTTGGAAAGTCCTCTTGCATTCCGTCTTTATATTCCTCGCAGATTCCTAATGCTTGAATGCTATACTTTCTCATGTGTTTTTTAATCTGGACTGCCTTGCTATATTGAAACATTGTTTCTACATTCCATATCCCAGTGTTTGCCTTCCCTTTCATCAAGAGAAGTGAATACACATCGGTGAATTGGCTTCGGGAAGGCTTTCACCAGCTGTTTGTCGTTTCGCCTCTTGGGTCCCATCATGGGATAAGTTGGTTTTTATTTTTTGCATTTTGTTGTGCTTTCAAGTTCGTTCAGCGATTGAATTGGTTTTTATGGTGTGGAGTTGCTAGCCCTCTGGTGAACCTTCCTTCCTTGTCCGGCCTAGGCAGGCTAGTAACTAGTGAAGTAGTTAACGAGGCAATCAATATGGCTCGTACATTCGTTGTGTGCTGGTGCCTGGATTACAGGTTTTACTTTACTAATTTAACTGATTTGTGTATTCGGAAATGCAAACGAGCAATCAACTGTTAACTTTTTTAAAAAACATTTGGGTATCGATGCACGAGATCATGAATTTTTATGCGTGATACCTCCATCTTGGTTTAGGCAATAGTTGCTTTACGATTATATTCGTGTTCTGCGTTTCAGACTTATTTATCTGTATAGGAATGACATTGTGATAGACGCTATGAAAAGGACCATACCCTGGTAAGTTAGAAATATGCTCACCTTAGCCATTATCATCACTATGAAAAGTGATATACTGACGTAGATGTTCTCTATTCTGTAAGGTCACTCGATCTAACAAGTAGTATATTTATGCATATTTGTGTTCCATAATCAAAGGGTAGAATTGTCTCTATTTACCTAATTCTGAATACAATATATCAGTGAAAAGTTTATGCATTGTGGAACGGATTAATATATTATATTGTGTAAACTTTTCATTAAAAATTTACTCATAAATGCAATACTCAAAAGTATTTTACCTGATGATGGACACAATCACTCCTCATCTTCGATCCAACTGAATCTGGATTTGGTTGGAAAATATGGTTTATGTTATTAGGATAGAGAAATAAAAGTTTCATTATAAATTCAACCTTGCAGCACTGAATCAGTTGATTTCTCCTAGGTTTTTGCTTCAAAACTGCTTCCATCCAGACTTTCTCTCAACTTAGGTCACCATCCTGACAAAAACATTTTTTTCAGTTTCCTGTTTATTTATCTACACTATTTAATTCATTCTCACAGGTCACTCCTCGACCAACAGTATTTAAATATGAATTAATTGTTATACTGACGGTAAATATTACCAATTACGTAATGTAGAATCCGCTACAATATTTAGTTGACACTGGAATAAGATGAACGTAATTTTAATCATGCAAGGGGAAATGTTCATATCAGCCTCAAGATATATGTAAAATTCCTACCTTGCTGGTGTTTATCTTATCTGTGCATACGTGATTGTAGTTGGAAAGTTGATAGACTTGTTTTGTATGATTTACATTCAAAAGTGCAAGTCAACAAAGTATCATTCCTACATTTTATTCTTACTTCTAAGAAAGAAAAGTATCTATGAATCTTTTATTAATTGTCACTTCATGCGTTATACATGTATACTTTCTTCTTACTTATCTTTGACGATCAGTAATGGCATCACACGATTATTACGTAGCTAAAATGAACTGAAAAAATCACTTACTTATCTTAAAGGTAGATTAAACGTACACTTAAAATGTCTAATTCACAACCACAAATGCCTATTCTGATGGAACTGATAGCACCATCATATATTAAAAACTGTCTATTCTCAGATAGGTAGGACTTCAGTTTTAAAAAATGGTTATTTATCATGGTGTAGACCAACCTTGATTCACCAGTGAAAGCAAATACTTCGCGTTGTTGTTATAAATCAAATGTATTCAGTAAATCCCAATGAAGTAGTAAATTAAGTTTTGGTGTCTCATGACCTCGTGGAACCCGTTTCGTCAAAGGACACGAATCACCAGAAGATTGTTATCATAGCACATTTTGATTCCATAAATATATTTTGTTTTTAAGCCTTCTACGCATTACCCCCTCTGTTTGCTTCCATCAGACCAAATTCCGTCTACATTATCTCAGTTATGAATGAAGAGCACAAGACATCGCTGTGCTTGCATGTGTAAAACAGCAAGAACTGGTCATCGATTTCTTAGATATCTGAAGGGCGAGTCGCAGATTCTTATCAGTTTGTAAGTACTATCCGTTAAATAACCATAATGGGGTCGATTGTATACATCTCAAAAAATATTATATGCATTCATGACCCAAGATTCCAGGGTACTTTGCTAGTAAGGGCTCGTAACCAATTACGTTGGGCCATAAAAAACCCAAAGTAACAGCTAGTTCACTTTATAGAAATTATAAGGAATTCTCTTCTGAAATAAATATTTGACAATTGAACGAAGGCTATAATTAACAGTTTAAAGTTTTTATCTTCCATCAAGAAGTATGTAGACAGATGACGTCCGTGTGTTCGAAAGTCCTAAATTAGTTGAACAATGGTCGAACAGAAATTAGTAAATTACTAGAATAAAGTGCACGAAATATCAGAGGTTATTCGAAGCAATGTTGTTATGAACCGTTCCATTCAAGGTAGACTATGCGTGGTGGTTACCGTTTGTTCTCTTTTACTGATGGGCAGTGGTGGCATAGTGTCAAAGCCGTAGTTACATAAGATGAAATTAACTTCCTGAATTTTCAGATTGCAGCTATTAAGTGCATATAAACTATAGCATGACAATAAAACTTGGACAGCATCACGCAAACAGCAAGTACGTAGGAAAAGAATGATAATAAAATTGACAAATTGAATGAAAGGAAAATGAATAAATAGATGAAGGTCAATCAAAATGTTTGAAACTCTAGAGATGACAAAGAGTGTATGCACATCGATACCACTGCAAACAATTTTGATTCATATCATGCTAAATCTCCAATCATTCGTCCCCATCATCACTAACATCCTAGTCAGATAGTCTACATCTCTCTCCATACATGAGTCAGACATCCAGTCAAAAACTCTATGCATTCGTAGTTATGTGCTTCAGTCGAAGCATGCTTTGCCTTCTACCAAATCAATCCTACTTGAACTGGCATCAAGTATTGAGGTAGGCAGTGACTCGGAATGTGCAGTACAACACATCCAAGACACTTCAGTCGATAGAGATTCACAAACTCATCAACTGATTTGTCTTCCTCGGATACTACTCATCACCTAATTCCAACATTACTAACATAGTGGTTATTGGACAGAACAGCCGTGTTGTGAAGATATAGGGTTAAAAAGGTATAGTTGGTTCTAGTCTTCTAGTCCCAGTGACCATTTCGTGGTCCAGCAATAGTACACAGTTATCTGTTATTCGATGGTAGCCTTTTGTGGTTGTTTGTTGGATATCGCGATACTTACGATACAATAGGTTGGAAAACATTGAATCACTCTTTCGTATGTGAGGGGAGATACGGTCACCAACTGTCTCATTAGGTCTGATGTAACTTTCTATTTAGCTGGAGTGGTTAACTCATTTCACCATATCACAGCCATCCTGGAACATCTGTTATCTTGCAACTGATAGAAGTAACACATACACCAAGTAAACTCTAGTTTTCCCTCAAGGTGTTCTTATAGTCGCATTTTATCAACGTCTTTACGATGTTGACTGCGTATTCTAGGTTGTCCTAGTTCACTTTCAAGGTTTTAGTCAATGCATGAGGAATCGAAGACAGGTAAGCTACCGAATCACTTGCTAAACGAGATATTAACAGCCTTATTGCTAGCCGTTCTAATCCAACTCGGTACAGGTGTTTATATAATTGTATATGAAATACTTATTATCTGAACGCTTATGATGCAACCTTGTCATCTAGTTGAAAGTGAATGCATCGGAATTCCATTTCGGTTTATTTCTCACTTATATCACATAGTAAAGCAGTATTATTTACCGAATAACACTTCAGACAAAAAATATTGTCCATATTCATATATTCATTGCAATCTAATACAATATCTAAGTTTTACTCTTATATTGTATGGATCGGGCTGAAAACCTGGGACCGAATGATTAAACGTCAAGGACTTCAGCCACTGAACCATACCTCATATATATATAATCTAGTGGTGATTTTCTGAACCGCATTATTTTTCCAATCTGAGCGATTAGTCACACAGTTTGTTCCCCTTTTCGCAACCTCTTACTTCTCTATATTGGCTAGAGAGGTAGTTTTTTTTTTCATAAGACTGAGGAAACTACTTAGTTACTTTAGTAATTGTTAGGGTTATCTTTAGAGTTACTTTTTAATTTCATGTCCACAGTACACTACAAATCATGAAAATACAGTAACCTATTTAATTCATAGAAATGGGGATATAAAATGCACAATAATTGATCTCACGTATTTTGTATGATATTGAGTGTAGAGTCGATAAAAGGTTCTCGGGCTGATGTGTACAATAACAGTATAAAATAAGTCTTCAGTAAAATGTATTTTAAAACAATGTTTCAGATCTCTAATTTCATTTCTGTAACCAATCATAAACTATTTCTTAGGAGATTTACTAAGCTGCTATTTGTTTAATTTATTCATTTTTCTAGGTCCAGTAGCAGTTTTTCTAAATTATTTTCCGCTATATTTGAAACTCGAACTTCACTTCTGCTTTCCGTAGTGACTATATTATTTTCTTTATGTAATGTTGCTTAAATGGAGTTTTTTATATTTGCTATTATCTAGGTTGTTGAGCATTTGGTATCTTGTATTGGTTTTCAGCCACAAGACATTCATACACTTTTAATATCTTAGTAGTCATTAAGAAATCTGTCAAGTTATGCGTAGTGTTCATCGTGATTCAGTTGATTGTTGTCATGTTTCCTTTCCATTGTTTTGATTTCTCTGTTGATTGTTCACCTTGAAACTGAATGCATCTTGTTTTCATATGAAATTAAGGTTGATGCATGCTTCATTTCGAATGAATTTTCAGGCAGATTTTCTTCTGCACTGTCTACCATGATACATGTTTCATTCATGTATATTATTGATTGTATTGGTATATTTCAGGGGGACAGTAGTTGGTGCACTATTTGGAATTTTATTTTTGGCTTCCATAATCGGCCTAATTATCTTTTGTTGCTGTCGTCGTAAACGTCGACCAATAATGGAACCAGCTGATATTCCGAATGCCCAACCTATCCCACCTGTAGATGCATTCTACAAACCGGTAAGCGCGCCCAAAACTTTATCCAAATCTAGCGACAGTTCTTCGAGTTTTGAACAACAACCATTAAATGTTGGGGTAAGGTATTACTTAATGCTAATTAGATGTGCGAAATAGAGGCAATTGGTGTATGGTCACTCATGTGTGTATGCGTGTACAAATCACATTTTCATCAGCTAATAATTGGCCTTTTAAAACCATTTTAGCATTTTACCTGGTATTAGCTACTTTTTTTCTCCAATACAGAAACTAATCAGTTTTTTTAAGACTCTGTACTAATCGAATTTACTGTAGTTTTTATTTTGCTAACTTTACTTGCCGGTTACAGAGCTGTATCTTCCATTGATGAGAAAAGCAAACAAAAAAACGCCATGTAATGTGTTTTCTTCTCCCAGTGGTGATTTTCTTTCAGACATGAACACACAAACGTACAGATATCACACTAGCTAGCTACAGGAACGTAATCGTAGTTTTTTATATGAACCTGTCGATGAAGGGAGTGAAGAAAGATGATGTTGTGATATACTTTTTTCTCTGTAAAAGTTCAGAATTAAACGGTGATTATAGAATAGAGGGATATCATAACTTTGTCCACTGGTCGTCTGATGCGCGCAATCCAGTCTACCAAAGAATTAAACATATTTAGTTACATTTTTGTATCATCCACGTCCAGGCTGCAAGGATTTTTACCTGTTGGTGTTAAAACACACCTGATTAACGCCAATAAGCAGGGAAAGCTGCAATCATAACATTTTGTACCATGCATTGTATCTTTTTCAATACTAGATAAAACATGGGTTTATTAAGTCGCTAAATGACTATAGGACTTTATATTGATATCTTACTCTTCACTCATGTAGGTTTAACTTCTGTTGATGGATTAACCAGTTATATATAAGTGGATAAATCGGTGGCTGGAGATTCCTAAAGAGGGATTTAGTTGACATCTTAACTACACTTAAGTGAATCACTACAACGACAGTGCGACAGAGATAGTTGACTTTTTGGCTAACTGTAAGTCGGGATGGTTTAACTCCACAACCCTCAAGGATGATAGTCAAGTTAGATTAGATTAGCACACAAGAGTAAATCAGCTCATATTGATACATCTCTCATCAGTATGAAATTAGGAAGTCAACAGAAAGGAAAAGATATAACGAAGAAAAAGAGGGTAATTTAAAATTTTTCAGGCAGTTGGAAGCATTGAATACTTACAAATTAAATTAACTTAGTTGTTATGTACACGAATCATACAAAGTTGACTGGGGCTAATTTTGATTACTGGTTCTTCTACAGAATAGGAATATTGTTGTGCCAGCTACAGGACAATCGTCACAGTCTCCTAACGCCTTTTTTCATCTTCTGTCTTTATGCAGCTTTGGATAAATGAGTCTCAGAGAAGTAGCTTAATGTCGTGCCAATTAAGGATTTTTCGAGTAGTCGTATTTGGTTAACTAAAGGTTACATTTGGCTTAACCAAATAATCTTTAATACCTTTGATCTCTGGAGGGGGTGTAGACAATTCTTGCATAGTCTTTCTTTAGGAATTTGTCTGAGTCTACATATTGATAACAACCCACTTCGTTCCTTGATTAACACTGCTACCTTTCACTTTATCTGCAATTAGATTTTGAATCATGTTTCACTATTTGCACAAAAATTCATTGGGAATTGCACATAAATCTCTTCACTTCACATTATAATATAGTTACTTATTAATGACGGTACCACTAGTAGTTATATCGCTTTTCCCAAAAATATACTTATTCACATTTTTTGCTTGAATGAATTTATTAGAATCAATATCCTGCTTCGTATCCAAATTCATCTGTACCTTATCCTGTCAATCCTTATCCACCCCCTGGACAAGGTTTAATATATTTCCAAAATTCTAATTCATATCCATCTGTACAACCAGTACTTCCAGTTGATGGAACGGTACAAATTGGATCTGGTTGGGGTGCAGATTCTGATTTATCGACTTCAGCTGTAAGACCAAATTATCCACCTCCACCGTATCCAGGCTATCCAACTTCTAATAATCCAACAGTTGATCCGAGCGCTCCGAGGTATGCAAATATATGAATTAATTTTTGTATGTATGCAAGTTATACAATTGCATTAGAAAAACTTAACAGTACCATCGCATGAATTGTGTAAATACATTTTAGTGACTGTCTCTAGTTTTTTTGAAAATATGGGGATTATAATTCTACAATGCAACAAGCTATAATGGCGATTAATTTGATAAAACTATCGTATCGAAAAGCATAATACAATTATGTGAATATTAGTTGTAGGTTGCCGTTAGTCAGTATGCTATTATAAATAGGCAAGTACGCAAATGAATGAAGTCAAACATGAAATGTAGTAGAATTGTTGGTCGGTTCAATTTGCCTTGCCTTTTACTTCATTACTATGGGTTTTAGGAAGAAAAAGACAAGAGTAATAATATTGATAGTAATAACCAACATCAAGAAAAAAGCAGGGGGAAGCAATATGAAGTTTAGAATGTGATATAGACAGGGAAATGATTGTCACAATTTAAAAAATGGTTGGGTGTAGATGTGTTTTTGGTGTTGACTTTAGTTAAGGTTGTTTGGCTTCAACAGTCTCCGTGATGCTAAATAAGAAGTCCATAGTCACATGCATGGCTGAGATGAACAAATGGGGACTTCATACACTGCGTTAGTTTCACTGCATTAAGCCTTTTTTTTGAACTGTGGTTTATTAGGAGTCGATTATATAACCTATGAACAGAAAGGTTTCAGACCCACTTGATATGACAACGTGTAGGTGATATGTTATACTTCATACAGCTGTGTTCCTTCATACATGGGTTTTCTTGAAATTACTGATATACTTTGTTGATAAGGTCAATTAGGGCTTTCTATTGATCTAAGCCTAACAGTATCGTGTCACTTAGCTTAGTTGTTCACTTCGCTAACTTGATCTATAGTCTTCTGCTGTCGCTACGAGTTTGATAACTACTCAAGTTACTATTCAATAACCAATTTTGATGTTGTATACTGCTCTCATATTTGAATAAACTACGTTGATTTCTGGTCATTGGCATGATGGAATAGATATCTGTTCATCTAAAAAACGATTGTTATGCTCAAGCTGAGAAGCCAAACTTATTGCAAACGTTTAGGAAATCTTATGCAGATGAACCGACAGTGGTGAATCGTCTCCCTTAATTTTGTTCTAAGTGTCAGTTGTTCCCGGTCAGTACTAACTCCAAACATAGGAAAAGATAGTGACTCTCATTTGAATGAATTTGGATGTGATATTTAGTCTGCTGCAAAAAATAGTGATAAAGCCAGTTAGTAACCTAAAATCAAAGGTTAGTAGAAACCAATTAATCTCTACAGCATCATACAAAATGATCGATGCGAGAAAACTCATTCCTGTTAGCTCAGATCATAGTGAGGGGCGAAGGTGAACTGACTTAAAGCAGTGGTAGGCGAGAAAAGAAAAAGAAGTGGAAAGTGCACCGGTCTTAGATAATACTGTAGTTATTTAACCCATCAGAGAGACTGGTGCGACAAAGGTGGTGGTAAGTGAAATAAGGAATGAAAAGGATGGGTTGCTGATAGCGTCTCAGGATAACAAAATTGAACTTTGGGCGGATTAACCTGAAGAACGATTCAACTGACCTACAGTCCTCGTAGCATCGCTCACTTGTTTCGGAGTCACTATGTTAGTAATGTTGGAATTAGGTGATGAGTAGTATCCGAGGAAGACAAATCAGTTGATGAGTTTGTGAATCTCTATCGACTGAAGTGTCTTGGATGTGTTGTACTGCACATTCCGAGTCACTGCCTACCTCAATACTTGATGCCAGTTCAAGTAGGATTGATTTGGTAGAAGGCAAAGCATGCTTCGACTGAAGCACATAACTACGAATGCATAGAGTTTTTGACTGGATGTCTGACTCATGTATGGAGAGAGATGTAGACTATCTGACTAGGATGTTAGTGATGATGGGGACGAATGATTGGAGATTTAGCATGATATGAATCAAAATTGTTTGCAGTGGTATCGATGTGCATACACTCTTTGTCATCTCTAGAGTTTCAAACATTTTGATTGACCTTCATCTATTTATTCATTTTCCTTTCACTCAATTTTATCGACTGTCGTATCGCGTGCACTGGATCCTGCTATCAGTGTCAGTTATATGGATTCTGTAAAATGTAAAATTGTTTTGGTGCATCTGTAACACTGTAAGCAGCATCGCCGAATTCCGATATATAATGAGATTGCTCACAACGTCGCATTTTTATTAATTGTCTTTGTCCATAGTTCGTAATGAATGATATTTTACATGTCGACTTTTTTCTGGAGAATAATCTTTTCTAAGTCTTTCTAGTTTATGACCCACGATCAGCCAGCATGCAAGTCAAAGTGCACCATATTTATAGGTTGCTTAGCTTGGTAAATACACTACTAGATGGTCGATGAAAATTAAAAAATAAACAACGTAAAGTTGATTCATTCCCAGTCACCAATCGAATTTTGTCATACAGCTATGCCGGAGGGGTATCAAAGCCCTAATATTTCATTCCATATTAGATTTGTTTATTTGATTAGTAACAGACAATGATCTAGTATTATTTACCTGTTGACGTTTCGAGCATAAATTATTGCTCATAATCATAACAGTGTTATCACACTACTTTCGACATTTGATTTTTATAGTTACGTCATCTCATATGGTTTGATTTTATTGGTACTAAATCTTCCATATCTATAGCATATGTGCCGTGTCGTTTCTGTTACATGTATTGGGTGTTGATTAGATGAACAAAGATTCAGTAATCAATCTCTCTCTCTCCACCTAATTATACTGGACTAATACATGGCCTTGTCCCACCCTATTGTGTGGTTGTATGTGAATGCATGCAATGCAATAGACGAGTTTTTTCCAGATTATTGATCTTATTCGGGTCTGTCATTCTATATTTAGCTAAATTCCTGTGTCGGCTATTCTAACTGACCTATGTACTTGAATCACAGTCATTACATGGAATTGGATAGATTAGATTATTTTGTCTAATTGGTTCTATCGGATCTTTAGGCTAACGAAACTTATCTCTGAGTGAGTTTGTAGGTTTAAATGCCACCCTAATACCAGCTTTGTTGAGGATCCTACGTAAAGTTTCTGATGTGCCTTGCTTGTAGGGTAACTCCTTTCTACTTGCGTTGTAGTTATCACTCGTACTAGTAAATGTTATCTTTTCGTTTCTTGTGTGTTCGTACGAATTTCTTGATAAACTGAGGAGGATAATTATTAACTAATGGTCCGTTCTTTACGTATTTCAATTCCTTGTTTAGGTCCTTTCACTGACTAGTCAGTTTTCTAGCTCTATCACTTAGATATTTGACTACACCTGCACTAACTGACATTGGATGGGATGACTTGAAGTCTAGATACCTGTTGGGATGTGTCGGTTTTTTGTAGATGGTAGTATCCGAACCATCTTCTGTCCTTCGCTCCATCTTGCAATCCAACATAGGTAATTCTCCCTGTTCATTTTCTACTTCATATATGAATTGGGTTGGGCCCACTACTGAGTTTATATGTGTGAGGAAATTGTCGATACGTTCTGATTTCAACACAGTAAATGTGTCATCCACATATCGCCACTATATTTTTGGTGCAGGACTAGACGTTTTGAAATAGTGGGGAATATTCGTATCTCAGGTGGGTGGTCTTGATTGTATTGTGTTCTCTGAGTTGTTTAATCATGAAGCTTTCATCTTCTTTCTCGACGACGTCATCAGCATCTTCAGCATGAAGAACAATACAACCAGGACCAAACGTTTGTAAAGCCATGTTTTCCCAACTATCCATAAATATATCTGCTACGATTAGGGATATTGGCGATCCCATTGCTACTTCTTCTGTTTGTCTGTATATTTTGTCCTGAAACTTGAATATTGTGGAGGTTAGGCACAACTGTACGCCTAATATAATCTCATCAGTTGATATCTTAGTTCTCTGATTAAGTTCTGAGTCAATATTTAGTTGACTTCTGACTGCCTCCAGTGCTATATTGATTGGTATTTTAGTATAAAAACGTGTTACATCGAAGCTAACCATTTTTTAATCCTCTTCTATGTGTAAGTCATTTAGCCTAAGTTTTAACTCGTAAAAGTTTACTAGTCTGGAATTTTGATCGGTTCCTAATACGATATAATATCAGTGCTAAGTACCTTAGTGGTTCATATGTTGGGGTATTTTTGAAGTCAACTATGGATCTAATGCGATAACCTGGTTTATGAAGCTTGATAGTGTCATAAATTCTGCTAGGATTATTAATTTTAGGCATTAAATTATACCATTCAGACTCATTTAGAGAGATGGCTTAGTCAGCGTATCAAATCAACTGTAGATTTCTTAATTTTATTCATGACCACATCTAAAGGCTTTTTGATTTCTTCATATTGTCCTGTTTGCATATATTCGTCAATTTTATTGAAGTAATGCAACCCTAATATTTCACTGATGGGATTTTTTTTAACTACATCACTGCTTGATGCAGGTCTGAATCTGTGGGAGGAAATCAGTTTTCTCGTGATTCCTTGTACACTTTACTGAAGAGTGTCAATAAGCTGAACACCAAGGTCCAAAGCTTCTTACTGATTGTCTCCTAGCATGTTTCAATAATGCTGTGTAAGTTTGCTTCTTATCACCAGAGAAACTAAGGATGCATAATTGCTTCGACCGTTTACTGTTGTCCGGTTCTTTCTCTAGATGATTTAATATACTAAAATGTCAGTTGGCGGTTAAGTGTATAAAGTGATAGAATTTTAGACTCTTATTTTTACATTAATAGTTTTATCGTGTTGAGAAATGAGATAAACTTATTGTTTAGTAACTGGCTAGTCAAAGTTTCATCACTCTTTATCATATTTCTTACTCTTACATTTCAGTTCTGGGTTGATGACAAAGAGTTAAAATTCCTCTTGTTTCCGTGATCGTCTTCGTACTGATTTTCTTAGCACAAATAGAAGAAAGTGAAAAATAAGAAAAGATTTTAACTAATGAACAGTCAGCTGATAGGTTTTGTTTCTGCATTCAGTTCTTTTTATATTAGCTTTTAAATTCTATCTTCTCACTGCCCTTTCGGATTTTCGTCTATTTGTCTGCTTTTTATATTATCATTTTATCAACGATTCTTCTTTCTGCCCTACTGAATCACTTAAATGTGTGTACCTTCTACAGTGTTTACTTTATCTATCTATACTATTTGCTTTCTATATCTACTCCATCCCTTTCCACTTTTGGATATTCATATTCACAACGAATATCTTCTCTAAAGAAATGGGATTATTCTCTTCTTATGCTTCGTATTTTATTGAAAGATCGTGTAGCAGACATTCTTCGCGATCAACAGACTGACTAAACTCAGCTACCTTCTGTGTACTTTTTTGTAATTGTCTTCTTATTATGATGAATATTGTTCTAACTGCCGTCATATATCTGTTAGACAATCGAATCATTGATTGTTATATAAATGTTGTCATTCTCTATCTTCTTCTCGTCCTCCTCTTTATCTTTTGTGCATATGATCTCCTTTTGTATGATGACTATTTATAAATTGCTATCCATGTTCAGTGAATTGTTCTTGCTCTCACTTTGTTTATTATTATTATTATTATCACCATAATTAAATAATTTTTCATAGATCTTATAATATCGTTTCCTATTACTTTTCTATTTGCAACATGATAAGACATTACTTTATCTCAACATCGTTTATATTTTTTTGTATATGTAGTAGCTTTTACTCTTTGTTTTTATAATTGTCTATATCCTGCATCATTTTTTGTTCAGTTTCTTGAGAGAAAAAAATGTTTGTAATTCCGTTGTCGTCTCATCAATTCATTTATAACCTATTGTGTAGTCGATTAAGATACTCATCGAATTGTTCACTGAAGGAAGTGGAAGTGAACAACACAGTTTGGCATATACTCGTTCTCTGTTGAAGGCGCACAACACTATAAAGAAATGGTTCACTTCAATGGTTTTATTTTTTAGTTGTTACTGTTTAATTTTTTTTGCCTGATAAAATTTATTTTATTGAATATTGTTCGATCCCCTAATTCAATTATTTATCATCTTTACTTATATGTTTTATGGTTTGACGAATTCAAGTTTGTTCAACAACTTATAAATTAAGAAGAAACTTTTGAGCTACCTGAGAAGTTCTGCAGTAGGTAGTAGGAAATAGTTAAGGTCTGGTTGATTAGAAAAGCGTTAATAATCTATGCTATTCTCTGCGTTAATTAGAAGGGTCTAACAAATCATTTTTATATTGGTAATTAAAATAAGGTTTTTACTAGTATTTGTATATCCTTAAACTCTCACTAGGGCCTACTGTTCAAGAGAAAATACGAGCTCTTACTCTTCAATATCACATGAATTTTTATACATATAAGTTGGATAATCAATCTACTGATGATATGTATGAAAACTGCACAATTCACCTTGAAATTTACAGAAACCTTGCGATGTCTCACTTATGGTGTCACAATGGTCTTCGATGAAAAAAACTCAGCGAAGATCACAAAGCTTCATGAACTAACGAAATTACCACTCAAATAATATTGGTATAATTTTAGTCATACTTTTTAGCATTCCAGGAATGACGCACATAGTAATAGTTACTAAAGGTCCCGTTATTCATAGCAAGGAGAAAATGTCAGCGATGAGCCACCAAAAACATCTACTGCATCACATTCGCATCCAAAAAACACATGCATTAAAAAAGTCTGATATCAAAGTTATATGAAAGAAGAAGTGGTATCAAAACGGAGATTGCTGAAAATGATAAGGCATTAGAGGGGGTTGAATACATCTGTGCCATTGCGACCGACTTTCAGCCATGTCACAAACAGTCCTCAATCAACCCCAGCCAAGCAATCCACATCTCTCTACACAAATCAAACCAACAGTCGGGGACTTCATTCATTGGTGCCACGTTTTAGTCTGGCCACTCTATGCCTTCTGAGAAATTCGGCTAGCATTTCGTTTGAGAGAGTTGGTGGGTGAGTATGCCCAACATATGTCCAGTGCACATCTGTTAGTGAGGGTTCACAACCTCATCAACCGACTTGTCTGCGTTGGATAGTACTTTAAGACTGACCTGGACACTTTTCACATGGTGACTTGGTAATGCGTGAGCAATGGTACAAGGATACTTGTGGTGAAAGACCTGTAACCAGTGGATATACAGTTGTAGCTGGCCTATCTGGCAGTTGTATAATAGAGGAGAGAAGGGAGTGGCTGATTGTATACTCATCCTTGAAGAGGTAGTCAGGTGAATGGCCATTGTGAGCTAGAGATGGTGTGAGTTTGCGACTGTCAAACGGCCTCTATTTGCTACGTGAGATTTCGTCAGGAATCAGGTTGTTCAGGGTGATGTGATTCTTTGAGTGAAGTGGTCAACTTATTATACTGTGTGAATTCCTAGCGTTAAACTGAAAGTAGCTGTAGACCAGTGCTGAAGCATCATCTCACACTGACAGGTGCGAAATGCATGCCAGATATACTCAGATTCCTGCTGAGTGCATCCAGAAGACTAAACTTTACCATCGTTTTCGCCTAACAAGAAAATCACGTCAAAATACTCAAAGTCAATCAGATGATCTTTATGCAGTAGATGAATCTCTATGAAGTGAAATATACCTAAGGCTATGTCGACTAATACATGTATAACGATGTTGAACACAGAGGGTGACAGCTGCCATCCCTGGTGGATATCACTAATTGTCGTCAATTCACATGACAACCTCTCTAAGCCGTAAGACAGCTGGGTGAGTTCGAGTAGAGAACTATGATTGGCGTTATATACTTGCTCGACACTCCTTTCATAGTTAGACACTGCCACAACACCTCACAGTCGACAGAGTCGAATACCACCTTCAGGTTAGGAAATATGCCAAGTGTCGACCGTTGGACGTAAATATGTCTGTTTTCCATAACCAGTTAGAGGGTGAAAATCTGACCAATACAGCCGCGATCAGATTTGAGATCAGCCTGGTTTTCTGCGGTTTGCTGTTCCTGAGCTCCAGTTAAGCGTGAGATAACTATGGACCGTAGGACTGTGGACACAATGTCAGCCAAACTAATTCCTTATGGTTATCAAAAAAGATTTCTCTCCCTCCATGACTTTGATTTCAATGTTATTCACTTGATAGTATTTAGCAGTGGAAACTAGAACCATGCTTTAATCTATTTGGAACTTCTCAGCTCAAATACAATGGGAATAATATTTCAGTAATATTAAGTACAAATATGACTGAGAATTGGTGGAGACGTTCCTAATGTATTTTCACTGTATCCACCATTTTCGAGTAGTAGTGATGACTGCTGATTGGAATTTCGCCACAACACTGATATACGAAACAAAGCATAAATATGAACGGTCTTGGTTGTATTGTGTTTTCAGCATCTAGAAAGACTATGAAAGCTTCACGATTAAACAACCCAGCTCAGAGAACACAATACAACCAAGACCATCCACCTGAGCTACAAATATTCTCCACTATTTCATAAATACGAACGGCTTCAACGAATAGCTCTTTTGCTTGTTCAAAGTAGTTTACACTTCCCATTGCTGATACATAACACTGAATTGACCAGTCATTGATAGCACATGTTTATGTTGCTCAGTATTAGTAATTAAAATGATGTACAATTACGAATTGCCCAACTTAAAATAATGAACAGTACTGCATAAACATGTAAATGAAACAGTGGGTTAAAGTAATAGCCACGAGGAAAACTTACACAAATCATGGTATGATCTTACGTGAACATGTGTTCGCATTCGTGAACCGATATATACACCAGCTAATGCTCCAGCTGTAAAGAACAGTGCCTTTTTACGAGAATTCGACCTGTTTTAAAGATAAACGAATAAAGCAGAAATAATTTTTAAGTGAGTAGTTTGGGAAGAAGTGGTTGTTACAAAGATAATTCTCAGCACAAATCAATTACAGCTGCAACAAGTATATCTTCGTCTAAGCCCTATCGATAGAGTAGTATATATGTTCATGCAATGTCAGTCTACCGCGTACAGTAATTAGCACAATAGGCATATTAAAACCTAGCTACTGAATCAAAACACAAAATGAACGATACTTACATATTGAAAAAAGAACACCGTACTCTACATGGTACACCGCTGAACATATAACTCAGAAATAGACTGCTTGTAATCTAGAATTTCCGGAACATTTATTTATCGTTTCGAATAAGTCAGTCACTCAACTGTCCAATAACAACTTAGTTATAACAACATTTGTAACAAAGACTTAACATTTTCTTACTAAAAGTGAACTATCTTACAATATGGTCCCCAGGCAATATTCTCTTATTTTAAAAACTTCACCTTCATTACGTGTATCAACCTGAGTAACCGACACTACTTCATTAAATAATCAGAAAAATTCAATGTTGAAAAGTAGCACCACTTTTTACTGAAATACAATTAGCAAGGGACTATTACAGTTATAGAAATTAAAAATTCATTAGTGACCTATAAGAGACAGCACTGAGGCTTAGATTTAGTTTGATAAAGATTGAAAAACACTTTATGGTTGTACAGTATTGAGATGTTTGTTCTTATAGGCTATTAGTTATCATTTTCGACATTTTCAACACTTAAGACGATGTACTGACAATAACAAGGTAATAATCTTCAAAGGAAACTACACCAGGAATGATGATGCATTAGCAGATGCTAGATCAACGTACAGCTAAAATGCATTCAACAACAGCTTACGACAAAATGAATCATCTCACATTAGTAACACGTTATATGCTTAATATATGCACTAATATATCGGTATATTTAAAATATACTCTAATCTCTAAGCCTAATGTTATAATAATGGTTAGTTGAGATGAAAATTGCTACTTTACATTAAAATACAAACTGATAAACCTATGAGTTATTCATATAATACAGTTATTCGATGTTAGAAATGTTGAAAATGGAACTCATAAGATGTTACGTATATGCGTATTTAAGTCAAGAAGACACATAACAAGAATCAAGTTGATTAATTAACAGAATAATGACTGGTTGAAAACAAATTTTTATGCTTTCATATGACCTAAATCTCAATGCCTGTTAAGCGTGGGCTAACTAACCGTGGACATGTTGTTAGTGAACCTGATTTTCACAAGGAGACTTCTCTCCGTTTATTTCTAACGGAATGATCAGGGAATTAAACTAGTTTTATGGGATCACCCCTGATTCCTATACTTTACCTAGTACATCGGTTTCTTCACTCATTAACTTCCTACCTCCATCGATAAAGATATTGGTTGGGAAACCATCAGATCGTGCTGCTTCGGATCGTATCAGGTTTGACCCAGCTTTCCTAAATTCGAGGAGAATCATTGCACATCTCATCCAGGTTCATGCTGGATAGTGGCAATTGGAGCGTTGCTGTTAGCAAATTGGACTGTGCTTTAATGTGTTCTCCACAACTTTCTAGTCGTTCATCATAGAAGATTATCAGCGTGCCATCCTTTCCGGTGACGATTTCACTCACCAAATTTTTCTTCTTACGGATAAGCCTAAGTAATGTCTAGGTATTGCCTAGTGCTGATGACTTCTCCATCTCTCTCGCTTTCACCACCCACCACTGCTCGTAATCGTTACGAAGACTTGGTCAGTTCACATTTAAATTGCTTTCGCTTTTCATTGTGATCACAGCCTGCTAGAATGAGTCTTCCAGAACCAGTCGTTTTGTATGTTTTTCCCTTGCGTTTTTGTTTATGTTGTCATGCATCTTTACTACTGCTTCTACAGCACACTGCATCACGCGTGGTTTTTCTCTTTGGTCTTTGCTGTCACTTTTGGTTAATCCTAATCAATCTCCTCCAATAATGTGCACTTGACTTTTTTATCTTCCAGTTGATAACTCAGAATTCTTACTGTTCCCTGGTTCCTACCTCCAGTAAGGCGCAGACCTCCAAGTGCCTGTCCCAACCTGTGATGTGATTCCAAACATGTACTTCTCTATTGGTCGTCTTCAACATTTGCTTATAGCAATGTAATCTATCTGTGTACATCGTTGGTTTGATGTTTGCGTACGACATGTGAGGTTTTGTCTCTCATCATCCTTGGGGTTAGTGCTGGCCAGAAACAAGTGATTGTCAGAACAAAATTACAACAAACG